AAAAAAGCCACCCAGAAACTTCTTCAAAGACAGAATCTTCCCCCTTCATGTGGAAAATGAAAGGTCCTAATTCAACAGCACAGAAACTAAACACCCTGAAGCATCCTAGGGAAAGGTCTCCACTCCCTGTCCCCGTAACCATGGCTGTCAGAGGAGTCACACGCCACCCACCCAGCACCTGTGCCCACCTTCACTGCCCACTCCCACCTTTGTGGCCCTACACCGACCCCCAACAGCCCTGGAGATTGCGCCCCAAAACAGAGCACAGGCCTAGGAGGAGGCTGAGGCATGCATAGTGAGGAGAGAGGCGAAGAAGACAGTTACCTGACAGACAACGTTATCATAGTGAGCCAAGGCACGGGCATGGGGGGAGGAGACGCGGGGAGTGTCACAAAGTTTCCTTACATTTGGGTGAGAGCCCTCGGCAATGGTGGAGAGCGAGAAGTTGTCGTTGTGGAGCTCAGACGGAGTCCGGAACTTGCTGGAGGGGAGGAGAGAGGAAGCAGAGCACGAACGTAACCATGGCAAAACGGACCAACGGTAGCAGGGCCTTGTGGGTCAGAGGCTGCCCCCCACCAAACGCCACGGAAGAAGACGCACCACTATTGGACGCAGCATTAGGAAAAACCTTCTGCCACCCAAACTATGATCTAGTATTTTCTTATCATCTCAGCTTTATTAGATACTTAAGTAGCTCATTTGGACTTGACATAAAGAACTGACAACGATATGAACAGCTATGACCACGTTTGTATGTGCCAGGCAACGACAACTACATCGAGACTACCATCTGGCCGACAGTGATTATAAGATGCCAGTGATTGTACCACGCAATCCAATTTCAGAGATGCTAATATGTGAGGGAAAATATGTGCTTCAGAATCAATAAACTGCAACAGCATCTGTACTGCACCATGCGCGCGGAGCCTCGCTGGAGCCCCAGTGGGCTCCGGAGAGAAACAAGGTGCACAGAGAAACAGAGGAAGGCGGGCTCCTCCTGCCTCCCGCTCCTCCAGAATGCTGGCAGTCACTCCCCAGCCCCTCCTTACCTGCAGCTGCCCTCATCTGGGTGGTCCCTGCCTCCTGCAGGCACAAGGGCCAAGGTCCTGGCTGTGTCTCTCTGGGGTGACCATGTGCACAGTTAGTTCTGCCTGGATGCACAGGCACAGTGGAGAGGCCCGAGGCCCCTGCAGCCTGTGCCCTGTGGGGAGCAGCCCCGGCGTCTGCACAGTGCCTGGCTCCACCCGGCATAGGGACAACAGATGGTGTTTTGTCCTTTTCCCAGGGAAAGTCCTTCCATCACACTCTGGAGATAATCTTGGGCTGGGGGGTCACAGGGCAATGTACAGAGGACAGGCAGTGCCAAGTCTGCTTAAATTGTCTCCTGGGGCCTAAAGAAGATGAGTCCCATTGCCTCCTTTTGTGACTCACATGACATCTTGGAAAGGTTCCTGTTTTGCTTAGTGATGAGGATGATTCTATCCTCATCAAGGTCGGAACAAATGGTGAACGCATGTTTACTCTCATGTGCACACACAGGCATCACGCTGTCAAAGGAGAGCTGAAGAGAGCTTCAGAGCCCCCTGTGGCCCTAAAGGCCACAAGAGAAGAAGTAAACCCCGCCTGACATCTCCACACTGCCACCAAATTCCAAAAAGGAGAAGTAGAGAGGCCGGCTGGCCAGCCAGCTAGCCTGCCTGCCTACCTGCCTCCCTTCCTTCCTCCCTTTTTCCCTCCCTCCCTTTTTGAGGTAATTGGGGATTGAAGCCAGAACCTTCTCATTGAGCTACATCCCCACCCTTTTTAAATTTTGAAACAGCATCTGCCACAGCCTCCTAGAATGCTGGGATTGCAGGGGTGTGCTCTGGTACCCAGTTGAGGAGTTCTTAAATTCCTCATAGTTCTGTGTAGACCAGTGGCTGAGCAGCTTTTAAAAACAATGTCATGTGGGGGCTGGTGAGATGGCTCAGTGGTCTAAAGCACCTACTTAGAACAAGCTCAACAAAGCACAGGGACCGCGGTTCAATCCCCCAGCACCACATGCCAGCCAGCCCTGCCCCCTAGTGGGCTGAGCTGGCCACACACACACACACACACACACACACACACACACACATTAAAAAAAATAAAAAATAAAAAAAAAAAACAATGTCATGTGGCACTAAAACCTCTCTCCCTAGCATCCCCTGAGGAAGAGCTGAGTGACAGCAGGTGTGAGGTGTGGTTATGCCATGCAGACATGGAGTGAAATGCTCACACTGGCCACTGGCTGTTGGGGACCAGGGAAATGGGTACAGTCAGGCAGGTGAGCTTACCAGGGCAGTGAGTGACTAGGGCCAATGTGGGAGGTGCTGGGAAAGCTCCTGGGAAGACTGTCTGCATAGGGATGGATCATCTTGGGTAAGTACCTAGCACTGCACCTTCAGTGAGAGGTGGAGAACGGGTGCCAGGGACCCTGGCACGACAGCCCTGGCAGGGGTCACACTCACTTGGTCCTCCGCAGCTTGGTATTCTCCGTCTTGAGCAGATAGAGCTTCTTGGCGAAGAACACAGTCATCATGAAGAGAAGGAGAAGCACGAGCGCTGCGGAGCCTATGGCCACGCACATCACCTGGAAGTCAGTGATGATGGACTCGCAGCGCATGCCCTTGTGCCAGATGTAGTCCTGCGTGTTGCACCTGCAGCAGTGACAGGGGCACGGAGGTGATGGGGCAGGTGCAGCCAGGGCCTGGGCCAGCACCTTCTCACACCTGCTCCCAGGACCCCTGGAAGCTCTTCAGCACCCGAATCTGTACAGACCCCGAGGTCAGCATTCTGCGCCCATCTCTATGGCCATCTAGGAGGCGGACCGGACCTTTGGAGCACTGGGATGGAAAAGAGGGAACCAAGGCCCAGAGGAACTGAATAAGTGAATCTAAACGACATGACAGTCAAATGACCAAGGGGACAGAGGCTTCCTGGTCTGCATTGCTCTGGCTCTTGGCGATGACACATGAGCCACAGGACAAACAGCACCAAAGGCCAACCTGCTCCCGGCATGAAAACCTATCTTGTTGCTCTGCATCCTAGCTAGTTCACAAGGGCTGAACAGACACCGAACAGTTGGGCTGACAGGCAAGGACGAACATGAAGATGGACAGACAGTCTCCTGTCCCTGTAGCCTCCACACTTGTGCTCCCGAAGCTTTCTATGGCTGTGAGAACTATCACACAAGCATAGTGAGAATCAACCTTCTGGGTGGGTTTTAGTCCTTTTGTTGAGTGACTTTCTCCTGCCCTTGGGGACATTCCCAGGCTCCAACTCTTCCAATGACATTGCTGTTTCCATGGGAACCAGGCTGCTTCAAAGAGGAAAGATGTAGAAGGATACAGAGGCAGGCAAAGGAGGGAGGACATGAACCTCAGGGTGAATGACAGACTAGAGAAAGGGGCCAAGAAACGGGGAAATCATGTGCTGCAGAACTGGCTACTCCACATTCAGAACAGGGTGGAGTCGGCTAGTAAGGGATTCTTTAGTTTCCCGAGAACTTCTGCCATCATGGGGGGTCTGTCAGGGTGAGGTTGCCAGGGAATGCAGACCCCTCCAAGTGTGGCCCTCTAACCCAGGGTCTCTGGGAAGTTCTGCCACAGCTCTGATCGTTTCCCGCAGAGGGTTGGGGTGATGGAGACAAAGGCGTGCTGCAGTCTGCAGCTAAAGGCTCAGCAGTCTCCTGTGAGTGGAATGCAAAAACAGTTTTCCAGGCGTGGCTAGGCCTGGCTGTCCATAGCCAGAGAAGGCCGCTGGCAGCAGGGCCCCAGTGTGGCCCTGGGATGGGGCTGCACAAGGGGAGCTATGAGGGACAGGTGCAGAAGGCCCACTGAGGCAGCAAGGGACTGGCAGGCCATGGGTAGCAGTCACGTAGCTCAGTGAGGAGGACAACCTTACTTCTCTGCTCAGGAATTCCCTCAGTGCCCCAGGAGGTGCTGGGAATTTTTACAGCCTCTCCCCAGAGGCTGCTAAGGCTCCAGATTCCATGATCCAATGGGGAGTTCACTTTGAAGGTGAAAACTCCAAGCATCTGTCAGAACCAAAGATGATTTAGCACAGAAATTCCACAGCTTCCGGGCTGAAATCATCACCAGAGCTCCCCAAACTGAAGTCTGAAGAGCAAGCTTCATGGTTCCCTCATACTGCTAGCAGTCCTTCACCATCTGCAGGAGCTCGTCACCACCATTTTGGAACCATAGTGCGTCCTCTGAGCAATGCTGGACAACTCCCGTAGGACTGCCACCACAGCTTACTGGAGTGACCCCTGCACCACGGCCACTGACAGAGAGTTCACAAAATGGGGCTGCAGCTTACGCTCCCATGCCAAGAGCTCGGTGGTCACTGCTTTCTATGTTACCCTACCAGAATATCAAAGGCTGAGAAACCTGATTCTTCACAGGCCTCCAAAAAGAACAAAGAAGCAGCATCAAGAAATGACACTTGGGGCTGGAGAGATGGCTCAGTGGTCTAAAGCCCCTACTTGGAACAAGCTTGGCAAAGCACAGGGACCGCGGTTCAATCCCCCAGCACCACATGCCAGCCAGCCCCGCCCCCTGGTGGGCTGAGCTGGCCACACACACATACACATACACACACAATAAATAAATGTTAAAAAAAAAAAAAAAAAGGAATGATACTTAAGAGAAACTCTCAAGTAACAGAAAGGCTCCTCCCGGGAGGAGTCTGAGCATTTTCCCCACTTCTATGGCTTGTGAAGAACCACCCAGCTCATTCCTGCCACAGGATTCTTCCAGAAGAAGGCGGTGCATTCTGAGGAGGTGCATGATTTTTCTGTCAGGCAGAATAAGGTGGTGACAGGTGATCTGGTGAGGTGTGTGTGGAAGGCTACAACATAGGGATATTCTAAACTCAGAGCTTCTAAAACTGCATCGTGGACTCATTATCAAACCAAGAAAGATAATCACCAATTAAGGGAGAGAAAAACCATCCCCCAAAGTCAAGAAAGGCTATAGGCAAAGCCTGAGCAGAGCTTTCCTGTCTCCTGGACCCTGATCCCACCCTGCCCACACCTGCAGCTGCAGCTGCCTGCCACATACCTGCAGAAGGCCCCTATGTTCTCCACCAGGTAGCACTGGCCACCATTGTGACAGTAGCTGGGGAAGAGGTCACACACAGACCGGCAGGAGCCGTTGTGGCGCACAAAACCGCTGCGGCACAAGGTGCCATTTTCACTGGAGGCCAGGTCCTTGCCTGGCTCTCCTGGGCGGGGCCTGACAGCGATACTGCTGCCAGGGACCAGCCCCAGGGTGTGCTGTGGAGGGACAGCATGCCACCGACTGGTGGGCTGGCCTATTCCCGGCCCTGTGCCGGGCTTCTCTGTGGGCAGAAGGTCATTTTCATCTTCTAGGTCTCCGCCTCCCACAGCATCCTTGTCATCCTCTTCCTCCTCCTCTTCTTCCAAGTCGTCATAGAAGGACGTGGTGGGGTAGAAATCAGATTCATCAAAGGGGGTGAAGTCGTCATACAGGTCAAGCAGGCTCCAGGAAGGAGTCTCTCCCTCCACATCAGGGTGGTGGTCTGAGGTTCCTGGTGACCCTGGAAAGCTCCCCAGGTCTACACCACGACCCTCACCATCCAGTCCTTCAAAATAGTCGATGTCGATGATCTCTGAGGCTGGCTGGGGCTCTAGGGTGCCTGGAAGGGGCTCAGTGGGCCCTGGCTCTTGTGGATCAGGGGTGTTGCTGCCCAGGTTCAGCCAGACCTCCAAGGGGCTCTCCTTGGGGAGTTCAGGGCCTGGGCTCAGCTGGTGGGCAGTGGTGGGGGAAGGCAATGCCTTGGCTTCGGCAGCCTCAAGGGGGCTGGGGGGCACCGTTGACTGCTCCAGGTTGTCGATGGGGGCTGGGAGGGTGGCTGGCAGGGCCTGGGCATCACCGCTACCTGCCTCTGCGGTCACTCCGCCAAGGCCTGCACTGTCGGGCTCCAGCCAGGCAGTGCTGGTGACTGCAGCAGAAGCCTTGGGCTCCTCCTCAGGCCCGAACCCGGTTTCAGGGGCACCTGGCACACTCCACGTGTTATCATCCTCCTCAGCAGCTGGCAGGCCCACCTCCTCCCGCGTCTCGTTGCCACGCGGCTGCCATGCCAGGCCACTCTTCACTAGTTCTTCAGCTTCAGCTGCGCTGCCTACTTCACGGGCTGAGGGAGGGAAGGCAAGGGGTATCAGGATCAAGCAACTGGCGCCCTCGCCGTCCAGCCTCACGTGCCCCGCTCCACCTAGGCCACGCCCCACCTTAAACTCCGCCCCTAGACCCACCCCCAAGCCTGGGAAATGCACCCAAGCCCGTCTCCCGCATGGCCCGCCCAAGATAGGACCACAGTCTAACAGGCTGAGTCAGGGCGCCCCAACTCTGGCCCATCCAGGAGTCTCACCCTGGGGCCTCACCTACCAAGCCTTGCTCCCTACTCACAGTCAGATTCCACCCCACCACTAGGTCCCAGCCTAGCCTAAACCTCAGACCCCGCCCACCCGCCTCCATCTCTGCCAGATTCGGCCCTGAAGCCACACCCTCAGGACCCCGCCCACCTTCAGGCCCCGCCCCAATATCACAGAAGGTCACGCCCCACTTCCAGACCCCGCCCCGAAGTCTCACCCTCAGGCCCCGCCCCATCCCAGACCCCGGTTCCATTCCAATCCCAGACCCCTCCCCACCCCCGCACGGGTCGCGAGCCCAGCTCTCGAGCCGCTACCCACTCCGTCCTGCCTGCCCCACAATTCCCGCCCTAGCCACGGCCTCGCGTGTCCCGCCCCCTTCTGCAGCTCGCAGACGCTGAGACCCTCGGCCCCTCGGCCTCGGCCCGGCCCCGGCGAAGCGCCGGCGGGAGCTCCGGCTGCAGAGCTCGGGCCGCAGCAGGCACTTACCGGACACAGTCCCCGCCGAGAAGACCCGCACGGCCCCCAGCAGCAACAGCAGCAGCGGCAGCGGCGGCGGCCCCCGGTCCGGGCCCATGGCGCGGCCCCGCCGCGGTGCGAGGTCCGCCCG